ATGAAGGATTAAGGGCTCGGCACACAGGAGGCGATGTCGCTCGCTCTCCATTCATTTCCTATGGAGCCTGTGCGGTGAGGCGACAATCGCTTGCCCTCCTCCAGCTAAGCGACCGGCGAAAATAGTGCATGTGAAATTTCGCGCTCGTACACGTAGACGTGCACACGCGAGCCTGCGACGCGACATATGAAAGTTGAAAAATGTTCAACTTTTGTCGCTGTCGCTTAGCGTACAATCAATCAGCGAGGGTTTCATTGACTGACCAATGAGAGGAGAGTATGCTACACACTGCCGTTAGCTAACACTTTCACCAAGTGATTACTAAAAAGCTTTGTGGGAATTTATTGGCACCAGGGTGAAGTTTATGGTAAGTTTTTCCTCATAAAATTGTATCTTGATGTGTGTTTGTTTTTCAATATCATTAGCATCGCAAGATTTGTTTAGTTTACACGTCCGTAATGCACAACCGCTGTCCGAGTCAAGAACCAATCAAATTTTGTGAAGACAAGCAATCAAATTTTGTGAAGACAAGCGATCTGAGAGCACGATTCGCAACGCTGCGATCGCTATCGCGTCCCGTGTGTCGGGTTTCACCCTGGCTGCGATGACAGCCGTTAWTCGCTGTGGTTTGTCGCTGCCCGTGTGTCGAGCCCTTTAGACAACCTGCTGAAGCAGAGATTCTATGATTGTCCACCGTCTTTAACGGCACGTTCCATCTATTCCAAGCTAATCTTTTCTTTAGCCAAGTCGTAATATTTGCTCAACCAATTAAGAGAGAGAAGCTGATCTGGTAACATCCAAGTGAAGGATTTAAAGTTAAAGCCTAAATCTAACCATTGAACATAAATATTCAACTAAAAATAAAATCTTAGCAAATTACTTTAGCTACCTACCAGTTAGTGCCAAATGCACACGAATGCTGCATAATGCATTTTAAAGTGCCTATGACATCATTTTTTTGTAATAAATATGAATGCATCTTTGGAACAATCAACACTGATAACTTATCAGTGTGCATTGCCAATGCAATGAACACTATTGTGATTCGTTTCCCATCCRAGTCATCTCAACTTTGCCATGCTTCTCCTCCTGCATGCTTTGTCCTAGAGCTGCCATTGTAATTTATATCTGTAAAGCCCCTGTGCCAAATGATGGCTAAGCCTTTTGGTGCCTGTAACACCTATAGTTTATGAAATATTAATGTTTAATGAATTATAATGGTAGTCAACGGAGCCTTGTATTGGTCCAATACCGCCCCATGCTGTACTCAACTTGGTACTGCACCATAGTTTTATATTTCAACTCAGTAGTTCAGTGTTTACAATACTAATATGATTGTATTTTGATGTTTTACTATATTGTCTTAATACTGCTCGACTGTTGTAAAATTATGCATTTTTGTGTCAATAATTATATTGGCAATGTGGCATCTTTCTGCACACATACAAACCAACCCCTGCCACCACCTTCTGCCACAGCTCCATTGGTCTAATGGTCTAYGTCATGGACTTTCATGTGGGAGATCAGGGTTCAAAACCCAGCTAATGCAACTTAAACAAAAAAATCTCTTCCAACTTCATATTGTCACACAATTACCTTAATTACAAACACCTGCTGACGTGACAGGCACAAGCTGGTATAGGAAACACATTTGAACTTGGTCAAAGTTCATTCTGCAAGTCCAATGCTGCAGGCAAAGCCATGCTGCAATGACATGCTTCACGGCAATGCACACTTGTTTTTACATCGTAAAAACCCATGTCTAGTTGCAAAATAAAATTCACACTGCTAAGCTGAACAGTTGTCAAGATGTCTCCACATGAAATCACAGGAAGTGATGTCAAAGGGGAATGTCTGAATGTGAACAGAGAACTTTACTATCAACAAGCCAGACAGAAAAGAAGCTGACTCTTTGTCTCTCTGACAGTGACTCAAATTAATCTAGAGAGTTCAAATTATATTGTTTCATTAAAAAAAGACCAAAGCTTTTTTTCCCAAGAGTTTCCCTTTGATCTCACTTCCTGTTTCACTGAGGCTGAGCCAAGTTCAAAAGAGAATATGCCAGTTATGTGACAAAATAGGTAAAATCGTGTGTATTATGCAGAGTTTCTTCAATATCAAAAATTTTCTTTGACTTTTTGTATTTGAAAGACATGAATGTTTATTTAAAACCTCAGGTCTGCAAAACTACAAAAACTTTACGATAAATATCTCTTAAGATAAATAAATCATTGGTTGGTAAAACGAGAAATTGTGGGACTAGAGCTTGCATTTAGTTGCACTTTGACTAAATATTTCCAACCAAGAAATTTAGTTTTAAAAGAATTTATTTGTGCACTTTCGTAGCACAGTTTTATATTTGGATTTTATCTTTTTATAAACAAAACTACAGTTTCCTGGGTAAAAAGCTGCAGACAAAAAAACCACCCTGGTGCCAGTGTATTTTCTGATCCAACTTCTGTTTACAGGAATCAAAACCAAATTCAGTCCAGCATAGCCGAATTCAGCGTCTGAAGCCTCTTAGACTCGAGTTCTCAAATGTCTTCAACGTGTAACCACATCAGAAGAGTTGCATATCCTGTTTATCTCCAAACCTACTATCAGCACATCCGTGACTGTGTGATAAAAGAAAAAAAAACTTTTTCTCTGATAGTAGTGCCATTAGCACTGTATTAATAGATTAATGATTTTTTTTCCTTTAAAATCAGCAACCTTTATTTTAACAATAGGGACACTACACTAGGCCATGACATGATAAGGTAAACTTCACTACACAATATCAATGAGCAAAAGCGTACAATTTCTATGAATTCATAAAAATACCACTCTGGATCATTTTCGGACAGTCAGAAAACCTTTAATATAATTAGTGAAAAACATCAACACTGTCTTAGCTTCTTAATGTTTCTCTATTACACATCATTATAACGTTTTGTATGATAGCCAAAAGATTTCTTTATTTGTGATATGTATTGTAAGTTACGTGCCCACCGTAAATAACATTTCCTTTATACACTAAAAAAGAAACATCAAAAGTTTAAATCAAAGAAAACTGCCAAGAGCAAAAACAAACACCTTTTTTACAAGCAAAGCTTTATACCCCGTGGCATCAAGCTAGCATTAGTTTGTCCATTTATTATTTGTTTACATTATCTCTGCATTATGACTCAAACAATAACCAAAGCTGCTCAAACACTGCTGCACAACAGAAACTAAAACGCATCAGGCACCAGCTCAGTCTGAGAAATGGCACAAGTACATGCAGACTAAAACAGATGCATGGAGGCTTATCAATATTTTCAAACTGTCAGGTGTATCCAGGTAAGCACCACACACAAAAAAAAGAGCACAAACCTCACTGCAAAAAAGCAACAGTGCAATTAAAAATGCATCTATGCAGGTATCGCCACGAAACCTTGCTCTATACATACAAGTAGGGTTTGATCCTGAAAAACAAGAACTCTCCATTCCAGTGTAATTCCTCCTCTTGACCAAACCAGACAGCATGCTCAGGAATCCATTCACAAGCCTGCAACACCTTTACAACTGAAGAGTAAATGGTGCGCTGCACTGCATGAACAGGAAACCAATGCATTTCCTGTATGTGTATTTAAAAGACAGGCAAATAATCTGTTTTTATCAACAACCGGAGGGGCAGGTCAACAGGTTTGAATCTAAGATTCGTTAAGCAGTTCTAAACACAAAAGGGCAGAAAGCTGAGGTGAATTTGATTCTTTAATAACTTGACTGCGTAATCAGGAAAGTTTGTCACGTTTAAACAAATTATCAATAAAGTTTAATTGCACGCAGTTTTTTATTTGCACTACTTGCTTGACAGGAGGTGTTAGCCTCGGGTTTTTTAAACAACCGTCACTTCCTTGGTTTGACTACATCTGTAACGCAGTCTGTGCTTTTAAAAGAACTACGGCACTTCTGTTTCGTTTCTGTTTTTGAAAAAGGGACAGTGATGTTGGTAGAAGAACGTTGCAGATGGCAGAGGAAGGACAATAATGAGAAATATGGATGCAGTTAGAGAGGACATGGTGGTATCTGGAGTGAGGACAGAGAAGAGGCTGACTCGCTGTGGCGACTCCAGACCTTCAGAACCTCACTGGTCTGCAGCAGCAGTGCTGCCGTGTTCAGGGGTTATTTTAATATAATGTCTTAATTGGCTTTTTGACTGCACCTTACTTAGTTTTAAACCACATATTTATCTGTTTTGACAACAAAGTTCTACTTTTTGTAAGTGTTACATTTCATGTTGTGCTTCAACGGGCCAAATAAAGTGATAAATAGAGGTTTAGCATCATTAAAACTGCTATAATTCTTTAAACCTCAAATCTTCTCAAACCATTTTTGAATAATCATATTTTTTTTAGAATAAAGTATAATAACGGGTTTGTGTGATCAAATCTGACCTCTATAATATGTGTAACTGTTCTGGCACAATAGCAAAATAATCACTTCCATGTGTTTATTAATTTTATTTATTTGTGCAGTTAAATATCAGGTTTTGCACCACAGTATCCAATAATAACTCAAATTGTTGAATACAGACCAAACAATTGTTTCATTGAATTTAGGATGACAAAGTTAACAAGAACCACCAGTCAGGTGAGAGTATGATAAACATGTAATACTACAAGATATTCAGGATTATTTCTGTGAAGAACAAAACAAAACTACCCATATTATCTCTACATMATTTAACTGGCAGAGTCCAAGAGACCATGGTACAACTGCTTCACCACATTGTGCGACCTAGGACATTCTCAGGGAAGTTAAAAAAGAAACAATATATAAAGATACAAATGTTTAACTGTTTGCACAAAAATGCTTTAAAGAACTTGAACAAAGATGGTTTTTAATCCCTTTAGGAAGAACAACGAAACGTCTAACAGCCAGTTTATCAACTCAACAGGAAACTTCTCTTACAAACAGAATTTTTTAACTGACTTTTTTTTCTTTCTTTTTGTCAGTGAAAATTTGGCGATACTTACATGCTGAAGTTATCACTAAGAGAAACTTTTTCCAGCCATGAACCAAAACCTTGCTGACTCAGGTATGCACGCAGAACATTCTTGGCCTCCTGGTATGTCTTTGCCATCCTCTTCAGAGACACAAAACAATAAAAAAAAAAGGTACACAGCACTTTTTAAAGTAAGTGTAATACACTCCATGAAGCAAAACAGCACTGAAACAACAAACAATACAACAGCAACAAAATACTTCGAGTTTTCCCCAAACTGAACCCTTAGATCTTTAATAGTATCTGCTGTACGCAAGAAGGTTCTATAGAAGAGCTGGAGCACAGAAACCACGTGACCGTGTGATCAGCTGCTGAAGCTAACGGCTAACGCTAAATGGGCAAGACTCTGGATTTCCCATCACTGTTGTAGGGATGAGTTATTTATGCAAATAACTTATCTCACACTTCTCATAACTAAG